CGAGCGTCCGTCAGCGGCTCGGCCGTCAGCGGTGACGCGACCGGCAGGGCATAGTAATTGTGTGCCTGCTTTGTGTGCCGGTCCGGGTGTGCATCGCGTATGTCCACGCAGTCGTTGGCGCAATTCCGGGCGCAGTCATGGACACAATTCCGGGCGCAGTCGTGGGCGCAATTCCGGGCGCAGTCATGGACACAATTCCGGGCGCAGTCATGGACACAATTCCGGGCGCAGTCATGGACACAATTCCGGGCGCAATTGCAGCCGTAGGGGGGGTGATTCTCTGCGGCCCAGCGCGGACGGGTGTACCAGGAGCGGCCTCTTGAGTGGCAGTAGCGCGGCGTGCAGGAGTCGGAATGATAGCGCTCAAGTACAGTCTCCGGCGCAGGCAAGAGACGTTGGCAGCAGAGCGAGACCAAGGAGCAGAGCGTGGTCGCCGAAGCCTCGTTCAACAACCGTCGCGGTGCCGAGGCGGCGGCGGAGGAGGCCTCGCTGCAACATCGTTCGACCACCTCGACCGTTTCCACTCGCAAGCTCGGACGGCCGCCGTGCAAGCCGGCACTCACGTCTACCGACCGTTCGAGCCCGACTTCGACAATGCGCATAATTCCACGCAGTCCGACTTGGTAGTACCGCCGGCCTTGGTGATGGCAATCACTGGTAGGACGGAGGTACCTCTTAGCGGTATTTCAGTTGCAAATGAAAAAGGGGTGCGGCGAGGCCGCCTACGCTGGTCGCCTGCACGAGGAGCTACAGCGCCACCCCGGCGGGTGAGCTATAGCACGATCGCGGGTGGCCTATAGTGGGTGGGTAGGTGGGTAGGTGGGGACTATAGCGAGTGGGGACTATGGCAGTGGACGAGCGTCTAGTAGGTGTCTAGTAGGTGACATTGAGGTAGCCTCTGTTAACGTAGGCGGCTTGAGCGGCGCCACCGCGTGCCAGATTGCGGTTACGTTTGAAGGGTCTTCTGGGGTAGCGCAGGTTGGAAGCGGCTGCACCGGGTCCGAAGGTTTCAGTGTCGAGTTCTCGCTGTTTCTCGCGGTCGACGCGGTTGTTTGGTCCGCCACTAGGTTGGTTTTTACGAGACAAGGCTTCGCAGCTGATGTTATCAAAGAAGCTGGTTTCTCTGTTGTACGCAGCAGGTGTGGTGGCACTGGGCACATCGGCGGCGTCCTTAGCGAACTTGGTGTTGGCTTGCTCAAAGTCGAAAGCATCGGCGACCTGTTGCTTGAGCGAGTTATTGGGCTGGGCTGACAATTCACCTACTACACCACCCCTGTTGGCACCCGGACCGCCTTTGGCGAAGCGCGCGTTCGGTCGCCTCCCGGGTGCGTAGTCTTCGTACCGACCGTAGCCACCGGGTCCGCCTCCGTAGCCTCCACCGTAGCCACCGCCGTAACCCTGGCCGGCACCCTGACCGTAACTGGCGGGAGGGCCGTAGCCGTTGCCCAGATGATGCGGCGGGATGTTGACAGCTACCACGGCCGGATCTTGTCGGGCAGACATGCTCGTCGTCGCAGGCGCTGGCTCCGACACTGTCAGATCTTTGATGTCCTTACCGTTGAACACAATGTAGTCATACACCTCGTTCGTCGGCATCACGAACTGACCAGCTCTCTCAGTCCCGGTCATGCGAACGTCACGCAACGTAACCGTCGACTGTGCAGTGTTGATGTTGATCAACACACCCTCATACCGCAAATCGCTGCTCGTCACCAACGAGATTTTCGAACCTATGTAGGGAGTCGCTGCACTCATTTTCCTCTTAAATAAAAATCCCTCTCCGCCGTCCCAACCACCGCGCATCGCACACACCAATCGGCCGCCTCCCACCAACACCACACCACCCAACGAACACCACCTAACCCCACCACCACCACCACCTTGCAAACCAACAGCGAACGCCAACCCGGCTGGACTCCTTCCTTCAGACAAACTACCCCAACAAATCTGTCTCCTTCTCTGATCTACCCCCTTGCCCTGGCCCTCATCCCCTCCGCTCGCCCTCATCCCCTCCGCTCGCCCTCATCTGCCCCGTACACGTGTCTCATTGTGTGTGTTATCACTTGTGTGTGTGTGTTCCCACACACGCCCGCGCGCTACATGTTCCCTCCCATCCTGGGGCATACACTATTCGTGTCTAGCAGTGTACACTCCCTAAAGCATGTTTTGTTTAAAATGAAAACAAGGATAGATGTACCCAGAGAATTTGGAGCTTGCCACAGTTCTATTAAAGGCGCTCGCTCCGTCTGTGCGGGAAGTCTGAGTCATACCACGTCCTTTCTGCACATTGAATGAGGACCTACTAGTTCACGCTGCCGTTAAGTCGGCAGTTTCACCTCCTCTCAGTCTCAAGACGAGATGAATAGTGCTTTCTTTCTGGATGTTGTAATCGGCTAATGTCCGACCCTCATCCAGTTGCTTACCAGCGAAAATCAGACGCTGTTGGTCCGGGGGAATACCTTCTTTGTCTTGAATCTTGGCCTTAACGGTATCGACAGAGTCCGTTGGTTCGACTTCGAGAGTAATCGTCTTGCCAGTCAAGGTTTTGACGAAGATTTGCATTCCACCTCTCAAACGGAGCACAAGGTGCAGTGTGCTTTCCTTCTGAATGTTGTAATCGGACAACGTTCTACCTTCATCGAGCTGTTTGCCCGCGAAAATCAGACGCTGTTGATCAGGAGGGATGCCTTCCTTGTCCTGAATCTTGGCCTTAACAACGTCAATCGTGTCCGTGGGCTCCACTTCCAGGGTAATCGTCTTACCAGTTAACGTCTTGACAAAGATCTGCATTCCTCCTCTCAAACGCAGCACAAGGTGCAACGTACTTTCTTTCTGGATATTATAATCCGATAACGTCCTACCCTCCTCCAATTGCTTACCAGCAAAAATCAGACGCTGCTGATCAGGAGGGATGCCTTCCTTGTCATGAATCTTAGCCTTCACCGTATCAACAGAATCCGTAGGTTCCACCTCCAGAGTAATCGTCTTCCCAGTTAAAGTCTTAACAAAGATCTGCATCTCTCAAATTTGAGCTATTACAAATTTTCACACCCTCACTCAGAGACGCCCTGCACCCTGCACCAATTGGTGAACCACCCAGCCATGACCACTGAGCCAACTCTGAACCCACCACCAAAAAGATTACCCCTATTCCGACACCAAACCCTCATGTTGGCTCCTTCGGACCGCCCGGCGCATGCGACGGCGTTCGGTTCTACTCCGACTCGCTAAACGACCCTCCCCACACCCTACATTGCTGATCTTCAAGGAATGATCAATCTGTGGTGCTGTCCGACCCCACAAGCTGTTATCCGTAGACATAAACAACATGCACTTCGGAAGATTTCCTCCTTTGGGATCCCCCGTTGCGGTTGTGGGACCCTCCGTTGCGGTTGTGGGACCCTCCGTTGCGGTTGTGGGATCCCCCGTTGCGGTTGTGGGATCCCCCGTTGCGGTTGTGGGACCCTCCGTTGCGGTCGTGGGACCCCCCGTTGTAGTTGTGGGGTCTTCATATATAGTAATTCTTACCATATTTGGATGGGATCCAAACACGTTGGCCAAGCCCCTGACCAAAGCAAGCTATTCCCTCGTACTGTCTGTATTCCCTCATACTCTCCAGCACATTAGTGAA